ATTGAAAATAATTTTTTTAATTTTTTATTTTGTTGCTAGAAAATGATATAAAGAGATTGTCAAAAAGAGATGGTTAATGTTTGCCTGAACTATGATCACTAATCATATAGCTAATCCCAAACAAAAGTATGGGATTACATTTAACCCGTCCTGTTAAGGACACTATTGAAGTCTTGGCCTTTCCAGGGGTTTCCATGCCTATTTGTTAGCTGTTATATGAAGAGAGGTGATAATAGACAAAAATTTCAAAAGTTGTTGGAGTGTTATAGAATAAACAGTATAGACACTAATCATTGAAATCAAGTAGTCTATGTTTTATAGAAAATCTATTGATAACATTATCAATACAAGGAACAATTTCTTGATGGATATACATTAATGCCAAACCGTTAAGTCGATCTTCTGACATTGTTGTTCTCATATAGTCTTTTAACCAATGCATAACAGAAAAACATAGATTGTAGATATAGATATAGATACATGATCTATAAGAGGGATAGTAACAGCTCTTTTGAAGTATTCTGAAACAGACTCTGATGGAACATTAGAACGATTTTTTTGAATAGAACAGGTTCTTGGTTTTAAAACAAAAATTTCACCTTTACTTGAAAGCAAACATGCTGCTTCATAGCAGTTATTATGAAAACTATCTATATCGTTTCTGATGGAAATAAATGTACTTTTAAGAGCTGTAATAAGGTACAAACCGTCTAAGATATCAATAGTTTTTGATTGCAGTAACCGATAACAGGTAAAGTAAAATCAAAGACACGTGTTGTCACAACTAAAGTAAAGACGAATTGAAAAGTGCCAATGGAATTTAAAAAAGTAGAAGATTTGTTTTGTGTGTCTTTGTTAACAGAACTCTCAAGGGAAGCCATGATACATAAAGCATGGAAAATAGATAAATAATGTTCAAGAAAAGTGTTTAAACCATCTATACGCTCAATCTATCTAGTTCTACAGATATCTTTTCATTTTTTTTTATGCGTTTGAGGTTCTCGCTCTAAAATGCTAGCTTCTAAAAACTTTTGTCTATTTTCTGAATAATTAAAAAAATAAGAAAGTTCGCAAACTTTATTAAAAACCTCTAAAATTAATTGGACATTAGACGATTTAATTTAATGGGAGTAAGTGGTGAGATCTCTTGGTAAAAAAATATTTTATACTTTTCAACACCGAAATCTGGGTAACAGGAAACAATATCACAAGAAAGAACCAATGATAAACCTAACAAACATAAAAAACCAGCCCATTTCTCTGTGCTCTCACAGTTTGCAATTGCTTCAGCTTTAATAATATTATTATTTTCGAAGCCAGAATCTAATGCAGAATGAAATACTGACATACACAACAAACTTTTGAGATTAATAAAATGAGAACTATAATCAGAAAATATTTTTGAAATTAAAGAATGCTTACAGTAATAATCAGCATGTATATAAATTTCAAGGGATGTTAAAACTCTTAACACATCCATCAGTGTATTGTCAGCAACAAAAAATAATGATGCAGAGCTGTACATAACTTCCAGATCTTAAGAAAAAAATTATATATTTACTTCATATTTTAAAGAGCTAAACTTCTTTTATCAATAAAATTAAAATTGAGTAAAAAATCTTTGCTTTTTAAACAAATTCATAAATCAAATTAATAGTCAAGAATTCAGACAAACCAACAAACGATTTTGACATGTAGGAGTTTAATACATACATCATGAACATATTATATTCATACATGTCAAAATCACTTGACGGTGTTGACACTTATTAAATATTGATTAGCCAACGAGATTTTTTTATAGATTAGATTAATACGGTATTAACAATAAATATTTTTACAAAAAAGTATTAAATTTTGTAATAAAATACAATAAGATAATTACTTATGAAAAAAAAGTAAATTGACTTACCTCAGAGCAATACAATGCATTTTATTGTCTTTTAAGTAAGAAGGGATACAAACTTCGGCACATATATTTCTTCTTATTGTGCCATCAATAAAACGACTTAAAAGACCTTCGTTACTAACCATTTTGTTATTGTTGTAAATAAATGTATCCAATAAAGTTTCATAAAAAGTATTTAAATCGACAAGATTATTGGTTTTAAATCTTTTAAGTACATTATCAATCAAGTTGTAAGCCATGCTTATACGTTAAAATTTTTAGGAAATACTTTGTTTTTAGAACGGAGTTCTTTGAGTTCCTTGAGTTCTTTTGAATTGTTTATCGATCTTTGCAACCAATCAAATTACTGCTGCAAATGCTGCAAAGGATAGTTTACACTAAACATGTTTTTTTTTTTAACGAATCAAATTGCTACTTTTAATAGCGTAAACCAATGAACTTATCCAATTTTCTCATATCCTGCAAAGTAGAGTTTACATTAGCAAGTTTTATAAATAATTTTCTAATAACCTGCAAAGTATAGTTTACATTAGCAATTTTTATAAAACACTTTTTCAAACGTCTGCAAAGCATAGTTTTCACTGTAAACTTTTTCTAATTATATTTTCTAATAAAAATATGTAGATCGGCAATTAACTTTATTTTTGTTTTTTTACCCCGTCACTTGCAGCACTTGACGGGGTTTAAGTCCGCCCCGGGGCAGTTAGTGTTTCTCTTTAAGAGCCTGGTTCACTTGACTTTCTTTTGGGAGTACTTGAAGTATCCTCATCTAAAGGGAAAGATCAAGCACTTGTTATCCAAATTATCAGTATTATGACTAAACAGACCAGATCATAGCTTTTTGTGCTGACATAACTAGCTCGAACACTGGAAAACATAATGGTACAATTAGAAATATTGCAGTTTATTCTCTATCTTGTCCAATTCTTTGGCTAATGTGTAGATATGATGCTTTGCTATATAAATTACACGTATTTTTTTTTTTTTTTTTTTTTTTTTTCTGAAAATAATGACAGAAAATGATAATATTAAGATTACACACCATATGATGGAACGACATGTTCATAATGTTATGATGAAACTAGAGGAAAAAACAAAAGAACCCAGTCAATCCTTATACAAAAAACATTAAGGTTTGGCGTAAGACTGAAAAATGTGTGAATACACTGACCAACATTGAGAAATATATATATATATATATATATATATATATATATATATATATATATATATATATATATATATATATATATATATATATATATATATATATATATATATATATATATAAACAAGGCCGGCGCAGTAGGGGATGCAGGGGGTTCGATATAGGTTAGTCGGTAATTTAGACAATTAGTCGGCAAATGCCGTCATGGAATTCGGCAAATTTTCGAAAACGAGGACCTTTTTTTTTTTTTTAACTCGGCAAAAGTTGAAAGGGCACCCCCTCCCCTCCCCTCCCCCCCTACATGACACCTACTCGCGCCGGCCCTTCATATATATATATATATATATATATATATATATATATATATATATATATATATATATATATATATATATATATATATATATATATATATATATATATATATATATATATATATATATATATATATATATATATATATATATATATATATATATATATATATATATATATATATATATGTATATATAGGCGCCCGCAGAAATTTCTCTAAGGAGGGGCAAAATATTTTTTGTTATTGCTTTATTTCCTGTTATCTATTATGTAAAAATCAAGATATGTAAGATATAAAATAAAGAGAAGAAAAAAATTATATGTCCGTGGAAAAAAGAAGACAATTTAAACTTGTCAGCACCGTTTTGAAAATGTCGTGTGTAAACTACGCGTAGTTTACACACTACATTTTCACTAAATTTTTTTGTAAAAAATATCTTTTAGTGATACTTCGTTACAGTTTCGGAAAAAACCTAATTAAAATTTTTTTCGAAATAATTAATTGCTTATTTGTATGAAAAATACGAAACGTGCTAAGATTGAAAAATATCGTGTTTTTCCTACAAATAAGCAATTAATTATTTCGGAAAAAATTTAATTAGGTTTTTTTCCGAAACTGTAACGAAGAATCACTAAAAGATATTTTTTACAGAAAAATTTAGTAACAAACTTTATGGCATGAAGAACGTTACAAACAAGAAATTTTTTTTCTATATTTAGAAAATACAGGGAGGGGGCAAGTGCCCCCTCTTGCCCCCCCTTGCGGGCGCCCATATATATATATATATATATATATATATATATATATATATATATATATATATATATATATATATATATATATATATGTATATATATATATATATATATATAAATATATATATATATATATATATATATATATATATATATATATATATATATATATATATATAAACGCAGATTTTTTGATGTTTAAGATAGCTAACTACCAGACATGGAGCAAACTCCAAAAGTTTGTATGCTTATACTAATGTTAATTAAAGATGTATAAAATTAATATAAATAAATTTGTATGGTTATACTTATGTTAAATAAATATGCTTTACCAATATTTATAATGATTGGAGTCTGGGAAAAAAAAGCCCTAAAAGTTTTAACCACATTTGTCTCAAACGTAAATACACAAAAATACTCAAAACACAAGACTCACGTTAAACATTTGGAAATGTTTTTATAACTATTTTTGTGCCGATTAAACTTTTTTTTGACGTTTGGCTAAAATGTTGATTTAACTTAGATAATTTGAAGTTAGAAAAAAATATATATTATAGTTATTAATTTACAATAAATTTGTAAAATAATAACTATATTATCTTGATAAAATAAAAAGAAATTTCAAATAAAAATAATCAAACATCAAATTTAATTTTAGCTTTTTATTCATTTTTGTTGTCGAAATATTTGCTTTATACAAATTATCGTGTAAACATGAAATCACGTTGGTATATTTTAAAAGAGATGATTTATGAAACAAGTATCTGATTTATAATACGGTGATAAATAAATGCTATGCCAACTGTTACTATAACAATAATGAAAGTTTCAAAATAAATTTTGCGTCTGAGTGTTTTAGTTAATTCACGTAAGTTCTTATAACATTACTTAGCCATAACTTATCATAAAATAAAAATGAAACGATTCTTTTTTTTTACATTATTAGGAATCTTAGGTTGCGCTTTCTTTGTTTATTTACACGTTAACCAAAATGAATTTGATTCATTTATCTTTGATATTTCTTCAAACTTAATGGATAAAAATAACAATGAAAATAAAGATACTGAAGATTATGTCTATATCAAACCAAAAGAAAACTCATTAAATATAACAAGCACTATCTTGAACACTATCTTAAACATCAATGAATGTGCGCCGAGTTTAAAAGATTGGAAAGTTAACAACAATGGCGAATACTCGATGGAAGTTCAAACGTTTTTAAAAACGACTTGCGACTCAGAAAAAGTTGAATGTGAAACATCAACCCTTGTTGGTCCTTTGCTCGTTGAGAAAGAAGTAATGAGTTTAGAATGGTTAAAAGCTAACGACCTAAACTTTGTACAACCTGGTGGTTGGTGGACTCCCACAGATTGTCTAAGTCGCAATCAAGTAGCAATAATAATTCCTTTTCGGCAGCGTGAAGAACATTTGACTATATTGTTAAGACAACTTATTCCTATCCTTAAGAGACAAAATCTGCATTACCGTGTGTTTGTAATTGAACAAAATGATGATAATAACTTTAATCGAGGCAAACTTATGAATGTTGGTTATCAAGAGGCTTTAAGCTATTTTCCATACAACTGTTTTGTTTTCCATGATGTTGATTTAATTCCTGAAAACGATCGAATAGATTACGGTTGCAAATCGTCTCCAGCTCATTTATCGGTTGCTGTTGATAAATTTCGATACCAATTACCTTACGACAACATATTTGGAGGGGTTGGAATGTTAAATAAAGATCACTTTAAACAAATAAACGGGTTTTCAAACATATTTTGGTTTTGGGGAGGTGAAGACGACAACTTATCTTTTAGATTAAAAAAAAATGGATTAGAAATCCACAGACAATCATTAGAGACAGCAAGGTACACAATGATCAAACACGTAGAAAGTACAGAAATAAAAGAAGCGCATGAATTGAAAGTTTTTATGCAGGATATCGAAAAGTATGCAGAAAAAGATGGGCTCAATTCATTATACTACGATGTTAAATCAACAGAAATCAACGATTTATTTACTCTTATTAAAGTAGATTTAAGAAAAGATAAAGATATAACATTTTGACCATGTTTTATTTTTATACATTTTTTTTGATTCAACCATATTAATAAAATTTACAACATCTATTTTAAACTTACAGAAATTAACAAAGTGTCACTTATGTAGTTACAAACTAGTAAATGGAGTGATATATTCTATATATATATATATATATATATATATATATATATATATATATATATATATATATATATATATATATATATATATATATATATATATATATATATATATATATATATATATATATATATATATATATATATATATATATATATATATATATATATATATATATATATATATATATATATATATATATATATATATATATATATATATATATATATATATATACTATAAACATAAAAAGCACAAAAAGAAAAAAAAAAGAAAAAAAAAAAAAAAAAATTGAAACTAGTAGAAGAAAAATTATATATTGTATACAACATTTCTAATAACCTTATAACCTCAATTGATAATAACTAGTGTTAAAAAAATGTTTTAATATTATTACATCTTAATATACTTATTTATAAAAAAATTTAAATGTAATTCATATTTTTATATAGTAAAAACCATGAAAAAGTTATTGATGTTTTAAGGAACTTAAGCTGATGAACCGTTGTTCATTAAAAATTAACCATTGTCAAGAATTTCAGATGTCAATATCAACCAAATAATAAATCCATCATACATCTACATATCTGGTATAAAAACTCTCAATGTAGTAATTATGGAAGCAATTATTTATCAAGGCTTTTTATTTTCTTGCAATAAAAACAAAATATGAGTGTAAATTATCTTTTTTTTTTGTTGTTTAAAATAAAGTGTAGAAAATCTTTATTACGACTATCAGAGAAGTAATATATAACCTAATACTTTTTGGAACACAAGCGAACACATTTATAAGTATAAAATAATTGTATAATAATAATAATAATAATAATAGTAATAAAATAACTTATAATAATATTATAAATAACAAATAATTAACATGTTTACTATCATGTAAAATTAGTTTTTGCTGCAACTTCTTGCAACTTCTTGCAACTTCTTGCAACTTCTTGCAACTTTGAGCACTGTCAGGCTCTAAAACTGAAAACATTTTGTACAACCCCCTCACTTTGAAAACGTTTTAATATTTGATATTGATGTAACTTTAAAATGCTGGAGATTTGTTGATGAATACGTTTAATTTTAATGAAATGAAGGTGATAAAACATGTTATTCTTAAATTTGAGAACTTACTACCTGTAATACCTCTACCCGATTCACCCTCGTATGGAAATAACTAAAATTAAGGTTGTCAGTAAAGTTAGGGTTACTTTTGTTTTTAAACTATTGCTTATTTTCAATCGTGTTATTCTGTTTCCTTTTTTTAAGCTGTATAATGAAATATTTTGAAATATATAAATGTATCAGGAATAATCAATTCTCAATGCGTGAAGAGTCTTCCGATTAATAAAGCAACGCAATATCACAAAGCTGGATTTGATGGTTCAACTAATCAAAGGATTTATAAACAAAACAGAAAGCAGTTCTCGCAATTTATTAAATGTAAGTTCTTTATTTTTGACTTGTGTTATTCCTTTAGAGCTATTTACAAGTACAGATGAAAAAAAAGTTAATTTATGAAGAAACTTAAAGACATTATTCATAGTCCCTATTCACTTCACAAGATACAACCAACTATTATACCTCACCTTATTTAATGAAAGATATAAAATTGAGAAAATTCAAAGACGATCTACAAAAGTCCTAACCATATGCAAGCATCTTTGTTACACAGATAGATGTTACTTATTTCAAATTCAAAAACTGGAGGATTGTAGAATAAGAGATGACTTAATTCAAAAGTTTAAAATTAAAAAAGATTTTACCATCATTAATTGGCACAATAAACCGATTATACATCGGATGCTCAGATACACGTTGTCAGATACACGTTGGTCAGCTAAGATTGACAATGTAAAATCTTTTGTAGAACATTTTCCTGGTTTAAAGAGTGTTATCCAAGACTTTAAGAAGCTAAATCTTACTGCCGAGACTCAATTAGATATCAAACGTATTAAAAAATACTTGGGTTTATTTGAGTGCATCATACTTGCGAGCGCCTGGTTTAAAATTTTAACAATTATCAATTATAAAAACACAGTTCTGCAAGCCAGAGATGCAACTTTAGGTGTGGAGGTTTTAAATTTAAAAAGCCTAATTGATAACCTCTTATTATTGAGAAACAACTAGGATCTAATTTTAAATGAATGTAAACTTGTTGCTGAAAATCTGGTTATGGTTTCCGATGACATATTCCCGGAGTAAAGACGCAGACGAAAAGCTAGATTTTCAGATGAGGAACCAAATAATAAATTAGACGAAATTTATTTCAAGCGCGATGTTTTTACTTTTTTTTAGACTGTGTTATTGGTATTATGAATTGGCGTTTTGAGGCAGGCAAAGATCTTGAGGAAACATTTGGTACATGATATAACATTTGCAAATGCATGACATTAAATAAAAATCTGTTGAATGAGAAAGCTTCATCTACTTGCGTTAAATACAGTATTGATGTTTCTCTTAATTGAATAGAGGAGTTATTATATTTAAAGGCAATTTACGCATCAAATCTTGGAAAAATAATCTTACCACCGTTTCAATGATTAAAAAAATTTCGTGAATTGAAGCTTGGTTCTCTTTTCTCAAACATTTTAGTTGTTCTTAGAATCTTTTTTACTCTTTCAAAGACTGTTGCACAAGCATAACGTTCTTTCAGCACGCTTGCAAGAGTTAAAAATGTTTTAAGTTTAACGATGCGTCAAGATCGACATTCTAGTTTTGGAAGACTGGCAATGGGGACGCCTTTTGATAGAAAGTTAGACTTTGAAAATGTCCCCGTTACTGCTAATGTCCTCGTAAGTGTCAATTTTAATGTAAAATCTGTTCTCGAACTATATTGATATATACGTATATATATATATATATATATATATATATATATATATATATATATATATATATATATATATATATATATAAATATATATATATATATATATATATATATATAGGTAATAAAGTTATGTTTAAAAAAATTGATTGTTTAGTTAATATAAATATATTGCTATGGTTACTATGCAAAGTTAGTAAACCATGGGTGATATACCACCTTATTTCGTTCTGCAAAATTAAGTAACTATAGTAACCAAATAAAAAAAATCACTTTTATAAGAAACAAAGACCTCATATTAATACACATGCCAAATATAGTATACGTAGCCCAAATGAAAAATCTTGAACTACCAGAAACAGGTTGTTGCTATTCAAAATAAGGTATCCATAGCAATTAAATATAAAAAATAAAAAATTTTCAAGAAGCATAGACCTCATTTATACTCATGTCAAACTTGGTTAATACATTAATCACTTTTATAAGAAGCGCAGACCACATGATCTCCACATGATTGATAAGATTTTATTGTTCCAGTTCAAATTAGATTCATATTAAAATTTAGAACAGTCTAACAATATTTAGAAGAAACAGTAAAAGAAGAAATATATTGAAAAATAATTTAAAAAAATCAAATTTTTTCAGTACACAGCAATCGGAAACTTTTCTTTAGTATTTTATTATACAACAAAATATTTTATGTAACTTGTTGTAAAATGAAACAAATAGAAGTTACTTAAATTATTTGTTTTTCCCTCATACTTCGCCCAACCACTCTTGCTTGTAATGACACTCTAATAATAAAGAAACACTAATGCTTAAATATAATAAATAAAAATGT